TCAGCTGCCTTTGATTTTTATTTGTTGAAACTCATCTTGTGTCCAGTGTTTGGAGAAAAGCGAGGCAACAAATTAAATAAACAAATAAAATACTGAATGAGGAAGCCTTTGTTGTTTTTGTGTGCCTTTGAGTTGTGGCTACCCCTGAGGTTTCTTGGCAACATTGGTTCAGAGGAGGTACACCTTTGTCTTCTAAAGCTTAGAGTAGTACTAAACCAAGCTCACCCAGTGAATTTATATGGCCTTCCTTCTGAGAAATATGTGTGTGGGACCAGCATCAATAAATCAATCTGCATGAGTGAGAAGGGAAACTGGAGTTGGAGTCAGCTGGCCAAGTAGTAGTTTGCCCTTGGTTACTGGAAAGAAACTGGTGTTGGGGTCAGCTGGCTGAATAGTAGATCACCCTTGGTTACTGAAGGAATCTGAAGTTGGAGTCAGCTGGCCAGTTAGTAGACTGCCCTTAGTTACTGGAAAGAAGCTGGGGTTGGGGTTGGTTGGCTGGCTGGTTGAGTAGCAGATAAACCTTGATGACTGGAGGTAAATTTTGTTACTGGAAGGAAACCGGTATGAGATTGAGCTGGCTGATTAATAGATTAATTCTTGGTTATTGCAGGGAAACAGGAGTCTGAGTCAGATGGTTGATTAGTATATTGTTCTTGGTTATTGAAGGGAAAAAGGATAGTTCTACACTGACCCTTTATTCCAGGGCCAATATGTAGTATCAAATTCCAAATAAGCTCTGAGTTAGTTTTGAAACCAGCCTTTTGTCCCTGTTGCTGAGGAGGCAGAGAAGCATTTTCCCCATTGAGTGGTGCCGAACCCAGTTCAGTACCCAATATGACCCCACTTACCACCCCCTCCTGTTCGTGTAGTAATGGTGGCCAGCAGATGGTGACGTGACTGGTGTCTGTCACTCATTACGTGAAGTAACATTGGTTGGACATGAGAGGGGAGGGAGAGTTAGAATTGCTCACTCCTTCACCCTTTCTCCAGTCAACCTGGCCAACATCACTCCAAGAAACAAGCAATGGGCACCAGCCATTTTGCTCCTGCTAGCCACCATTACTATGAAAACAGAAGGGGATGTGAGTGGCATCCTGTATGCCTGGGCTACTGGAGCTGTGTAAATAATTGCAACAAGTTCCATCTTGGAACTGGCCCAACTACTTGGGGCCAGTACGTGGGGTTGCCTTTGAAGACGATAGTACAACAGGTGGCAGCTGTTGCTAACTGGAGTGGTGTAGAGGGAGCAGACAACTCCCCTGCTACGTTAGCTCCACTGGCTGCCGATTTGCTTTTGATCACAATTCAAAGTGCTGGCTTTAGCCTATAAAGCCCTGAACGGTTCTGGCCCAGCTTACTTGTCCAAACGCACATGACCCTAAGAACCAGGAGGGACATTAAGATTTCCTGGGAAGGCCCTGCTCTCTGTTCCACCTCCTTTGCAGGTGCAGCTGGTGGGGATGAGAGACAGGGCCTTCTCAGTGGTGGCCCTTCCTAGTCATGTGAGATTAGCCTCCTCCCTCCTGGCATTCAGAAAATAACTAAAATTTTGGCTTTGGAACCAGGTGTTCGGAGACTAACTACAATGTAATGGACAGGCGTTCAAAGACTAACTACAAAGGCTTCGAAATGGAGATGAGCACCAACCCCCTGAGTCAGACACGACTGGACTTAATGTCAGCAGCAAACTTTGCCTTAACCTAACTGGACTGGCTCATGGACTCTGATTATGGACTATGTGATTGTTTTAAATCCTGTTTTAATTGTATTTATATGCTACTGTTTTATGTTTAATGACAGAATGTTTGATGTATTTATAATCTATATGTTTATGTTTCAATGTGGCACCGAATTATACCAAGCTGTAAGCCGCTCTGAGTCCCCCTTGGGGTGAGAAGGGCTGGACAGAAATAAGGTAAATAAATAAATACTTGCACAGGCCCAAAGTCACAGCTTGCTCCAGATTATTGAGGAGACGTAATTTTATTTTGTTAACGTAGTTTGCAGCCTTGGCCTGTGTTAGCCCAAATCAACTCCTTGCATTGTGCAGCTGCCAAGGAGCTGATTCACACTCACACAACCTTCGGGATAATGGGTCAGCATAGATCTGCCTCCTTTTACAGCTTTGTGTTGATCAGTGACTATAATAAAGTTTTGTATTGTATTGTACTGACTGGTTAGTTAGATACATTCTGGGTTACTGAAAAAAAAATAAGAGTTATAGTTTGCCACCGGCATTATTGGGCAGAGAAGGCTAAAGACTTGTAAAATGACAAGTCCCATGATTCCATAGCATTGAGCCAAGGCAAAGTGGTGCCAAACTGCATTCATTCTACAGTGTAGATGCAGTCTTTGAAACAAAACAACAAAGTCCTGGGGTGCTTGTTATTCCAAGCTGGGTTCGAAAGTGGAGGAAAAGTCTGTCTTCCTTGGTAGCTTGTTCTTGCGATGCATCTACACCAATGTCTCTCAACCTGTGGGGTCCCCAGGTGTTTTGGCCTCCAACTCCCAAAAATCTCAGCCAGTTTGCCAGCTGTTAGGATTTCTGGCCAAAACATCTGGGGACACATAGGTTGAAAACCACGGATCTAGAGCCCTTCCACACAGCCTTATATCCCAGAATATCAAGGCAGAAAATCCCACAATATCTGCTTTGAACTGGGTTATCTGAGTCCACACTCGGATAATGTGGGATTTTCTCCCTTGATATTCTGGGATATAGGGCTCTCTGCAGTTTAACATCACCTTAACAGCCATGGCTCAAGGCTATGGAATCCCAGCTGTTGCAATTTCACAAGATCATTATCTTTCTCAATCAAAGATTGACCATGCTTCACTAAACTAACATTCCCAGGATTCCATAGTACTGAGCCATGCGGAGCCCCCAGCGGTGCAGAGGGTTAAATCGCTGAGCTGCTGAACTTGTTGATTTAAAGGTCGCAGGTTTGAATCTGGGAAGCAGCGTGAGCTCCTGCTGTTAGCCCCAGCTCCCCCAACCTAGCAGTTCGAAAACATGCTAATGTGGGTAGATCAATAGGTACCGCTTCGGCGGGATGCTAATGGTGCTCCATGCAGTCATACCAGCCACATGACCTAGGAGGCGTCTACAGACAACACTGGCTCTTCAGCTTAGAAATGGAGATGAGCACCAACCCCCCAGAAGTGGACACGACTGGACTTAATGTCATGGGAAAAACTTTACCTTTACCTGAGCTATGGCAGTCGCAGTGGTATCATAGAATCATAGAATCTTAGAGTTGGATGGAAGAGACCTTGTGGGCCATCCAGTTCAACCCCGAGCGAAGAGCAGGACAATCGTGTTCAAAGCACCCCCAACAGATGGCCATCCAGCCTCTGTTTAAAAGCCTCCATAGAAGGAACCTCCACCACACTTCGGGGTAGAGAATTCCACTGCTGAACAGCTCTCACAGTCAGAAAGTTCTTCCTAATATTCAGGTGGAATCTCCTTTCCTGTAGTTTGAAGCCATTGCTCTGCATCCTAATCTTAATAGAAAACAAGCTTGCTCCCTCCTCCCTATGACATCCCCTCACATATTTATACATGGCTAATATCATGTCTCCTCTCAGTCTTCTCTTCTGCAGGCTAAACATGTCCAGCTCTTTAAACCGCTCCTCATAGGGCTTGTTCTCCAGACCCATGATAATTTTAGTTGCCCTCCTCTGGACACATTCCAGCTTGTCAATATCTCTCTTCAATGGTAGTGCCCAAACTGCATGAATTCTGTAGCGTAGATGTACCCAAAGTTTCTGAAGGGAAACTGGAGTTAGGAGGGGTCCTTTGGTGACTGTAGCCCATGCATAGACAAACTTCGACCCTCCAAGTGTTTTGGACTTCAACTCCCACCATTCCTAACAGCTGGTTACTTACTTAGGCAATCCCTCGTTGTCCGAGTGGGATTGTCTTCCAAGATCAGTGTACTGGCGGTGGGTCCATAGGTGACTGTGGAGCAGTATCCTTGACCTGCATGTTCTCTTGCAGTGAGGGCATTGGTTTCCAGGTGGAAGGCGGTCCTGGTCAGGGCTGGCTTGATGCGCCTTCCACTTGGCACGATTCTCTCTTTCGTCCTCCATTCGTGCCTCTTCAAATACTACAGCACTGCTGATCACAGCTGACCTCCAGTTGGAGCACTCAAGGGCCAGGGCTTCCCAGTTCTCAGTGTCTATGCCAGAGTTTTTAAGGTTGGCTTTGAGCCCATCTTTAAATCTTTTTTCCTGTCCACCAACATTCCGTTTTCCATTCTTGAGTTTGGAGTAGAGCAACTGCTTTGGGAGACAATGGTTGGGCATCCAGACAACAGTGGAGTTGATGGTGGACCATCGCTTCAGTGTTGGTGATCTTTGCTTCTTCCAGTGCTGATATTTGTCCGCTTGTCTTCCCATGAGATTTGCAAGATTATTTGGAGGCAATGCTGATAGAATCATTCTAGGAGTTGCATGTGGCATCTGTAGACAGTTCACGTTTCGCAGGCGTATAGTAAGGTTGGGAGGACAATAGCTTTATAAACAAGCACCTTGGTATCCCTACAGATGTCCTGGTCCTCATTCGGAAAAAAAACTCGCAGAGCTCAGGTGGTGTTGAATTTCAGTGTCAATGTTGACTTTTGTGGAGATGTGGCCGCCAAGGTAGCGGAAATGGTCCACATTTGCTAATGTTACACCATTAAGCTGTATTTCTGGCATTGGGGAGGGATTGGCTGGGGACTGGAGAGGGAAAGGCTGTTAAGAATGGTGGGAGTTGAAATCCAAAACACCTGGAGGGCCGAAGTTTGCCCAGGCCTGCTGTAGCCACTGCCAGTCGCTTAGGTGTCTTGTCTTGGTTGCAACGTGACAATGCTTCCCCTATCTTAAGGAACAAGTAAGGTACGTGGTTCTATTTATCTTGGAACTAACCCCTGGCTAATAGATTACGGTAATTGCTAAGTCCTCTGCTCGCTGCCCAACCTCTCCGCTTGGTGATCAGAAGAGAGAGGGCTGGGTTTGCTCAGTCGGGTTTTCCCCAGCGGAGTTACTCCGCTTTCTGTGCGGACGAGAGCGCTCCCTTTTCGACCTCCCCCCTCCTCCCCTCCTGGTTGCCTTCCAGAAGAAGAGAACTATGCAAATCTCCCAGGACCAGGAAGTCCACCTCGGGGGCCTCAGCCTCAGCCGCCGCCACTGAAGCAACAGCCGGAGCCTGAGAAAGTCGCCCAAGTTCCTCTCTGGGCTGCTTGCCGCCGGGGTTTCGCTTCCTCTGCTGTTTGGAGAGACCCAACGTAGGCTTGCTCTTGCAAAGGACGAGTTGGGGTGCTCGGAGGGCCCATCAAGCCACCTTCGGGAAAGTAAGTCTCTTGTTTCGCCTCTTTGGGAAAGTTGGGGAGGGGGAGGGAGGGGCGGCGTGTATCTTCTGCGTCTCTCAAATGATATTGATTTAGGGTGCATCTGATCTACCCCAGGTATGAGCCAACTTTGGCCCTCAAAGGGTTTTGGACTCCAACTCCCGCAATTCCTAACAGCCGTTAGGAGAGTTGGAGTCCAAAACCCCTGGAGGGCCAAAGTTGGCCCATGCCTGATCTACACCATATGAATGCAGTTTAACACCACTGTACCTTGTGTTTTTATAATGCTTTGCCCTTAGAATCATAGAATCAAAGAGTTGGAAGAGACCTCATGGGCCATCCAGTCCAACCCCCTGCCAAGAAGCAGGAATATTGCATTCAAATCACCCCTGACAGATGGACATCCAGCCTCTGTTTAAAAGCTTCCAAAGAAGGATCCTCCACCACACTCCGGGGCAGAGAGTTCCACTGCTGAACGGCTCTCACAGGCAGGAAGTTCTTCCTCATGTCAGATGGAATCTCCTCTCTTGTAGTTTGAAGCCATTGTTCCATTGCGTCCTAGTCTCCAGGGAAGCAGAAAACAAGCTTGCTCCCTCCTCCCTGTGGCTTCCTCTCACATATTTATACATGGCTATCATATCTCCTCTCAGCCTTCTCTTCTTCAGGCTAAACATGACCAGCTCCTTAAGCCGCTCCTCATAGGGCTTGTTCTCCAGACCCTTGATCATTTTAGTCGCCCTCCTCTGGACACATTCCAGCTTGTCAATATCTCTCTTGAATTGTGGTGCCCAGAATTGGACACAATATTCCAGGTGTGGTCTAACCAAAGTGGAATAGAGGGGTAGCATTACTTCTCTAGATCTAGACACTATGCTCCTATTGATGCAGGCCAAAATCCCATTGGCTTTTTTTGCCGCCACATCACATTGTTGGCTCATGTTTAACTTGTTGTCCACGAGGACTCCAAGATCTTTTTCACACGTACTGCTCTCGAGCCAGGCATTGTCCCCCATTCTGTATCTTTGCATTTCGTTTTTCCTGCCAAAGTGGAGTATCTTGCATTTGTCACTGTTGAACTTCATTTTGTTAGTTTTGGCCCATCTCTCTAATCTGTCAAGATCGTTTTAAATCCTGCTCCTGTCCTCTGGAGTATTGGCTATCCCTCCCAATTTGGTGTCGTCTGCAAACTTGATGATCCTGCCTTCTAACCCTTCATCTAAGTCATTAATAAAGATTTTGAACAGGACCGGGCCCAGGACGGAACCCTGCGGCACTCCTTCTCTTTGCCAAGAGGAGAGCCATGGCACTTAATGGGTTGCCAAACTTAAAGGTGTGCCAAACTTAAAGGGGTGTCAAACTGCATTCATTCTACAGTGCAGATGTATCCTTCTTTAGAGCATCCTGCTTATTTCACACTCACCCCACCTCCATTTTTTTTTAATTTTACCTAAGATGAAAGGAAACTAAACACAAAAACAAAGCCAAGGTAGGGTTTCTTTTTGCTATTATTGTTTTGTCCTTTTCCCTCCACCGCCTCCAGGCAAAAAGCCCAGTTTCAAACCCAGTTCCCACCTGGTGCTGGAAGGACTTTGTTGTTTTAGTTCAAAGGCTGCATCTACACCAGTGGTTCTCAACCTTCCTAATGCCGTGACCCCTTAATATTTATTTATTTGACATTTATATGCCACCCTTCTCACCCCAAAGGGGACTCAGAGCGGCTCACAAGTCATATGTACATAAAACATACTATATTATTAGCATAGTACTAATACATCATTCATAATATTAGTATTATATAATATACTAGCTGTCCCCTGCCACGCGTTGCTATAGCCCAGTCTGTTGATCTGGAAAATAAAGTAATGCGAAAGTGTTGGTTTCTAATCTATGTAATTTCTTTATGCTTGTGGGTAAACAGTATTTCTTGCTGTTTCTTTGTCTGTGTTGATGTGGAGATTGTCTAGTTTGCCTACTCTGGAACATGCAACATTTAATTGTCCTTCTTTAGGGGTCGCTTTCAAATCTATGATACTATATCTCTGTGTGTGTGTGAATCATATACATCCATCTATATCTATGGCTGGATGGCTCTTTGTCAGGAGGGCTTTGATTACTTTTTTTGCCCTGGTGAAGGGAGTTGGACTGGATGGCCTTGAATATTTTCTGTTGGTTATGGGGATTCTGTGTGGGAAGTTTGGCCCAATTCTGTCGTTGGTGGGGTTCAGAACGCTCTTTGATTGTAGGTGAACTATAATTCTCAGTAACTACAACTCTCAAATGTCAAGGTCTATTTTCCCCAAACTCCACCTGTGTTCATATTTGGGTATATGGAATATTTGTACCAAGTTTGGTCCACATCCATCATTGTTTAAGTCCGTGGTAGTCTCTGGATGTAGGTGAACGACAACTCCCAAACTCAAGGTCAATGCTCACCAAACCCTTCTAGTGTTTTCAGTTGGTCATGGGAGTCCTGTATGCCCAGTTGGTTCAATTCTATCATGCTATTTGATTGTAGGTGAACTATAAATCCCAGCAACTACAACTATCTATCTATCTATCTATCTATCTATCTATCTATCTATCTATCTATCTATCTATCTATCTATCTCTATGGCTGGATGGCTCTTTGTCAGGAGGACTTGATTATGTTTTCTTGCCCTGATAAAGGGAGTTGGACTGGATGGCCTTAAGTATTTTCTGTTGGTCATGGGGGTTCTGTGTGGGAAGTTTGCCCCGATTCTGTCATTTGTGGGGTTCAGAATGCTCTTTGATTGTAGGTGAACTGTGAATCCCAGTGACTACAATTCCCAAATGTCAAGGTCTATTTCCCCCAAACTCCATCTGTGTTCATATTTGGGCGTATTGAGTGCTTGTGCCACGTTTGGTCAAGATCCATCATTGTTTGAGTCCACAGTGCTCTCTGGATGTAGGTGAACTACAACTCCCAAACTCAAGGTCAATGCCCACCAAACCCTTCCAGTATTTTCTGTTGGTCATGGGAGTTCTGTGTGCCAAGTTTGGTTCAATTCCATTGTTGCTAGAGTTCAGAATGCTCTTTGATTGTAGGTGAACTATAAATCCCAGCAACTACAACTCCCAAATGACAAAATCATATTTTTAGTGATGTTCACTCCTTGTGTTGTGAGACGTTTTGTTGCCAAATTTGGTGTGATTTCGTTCATTGGTTCGTTTGTTTTTAAGGTACTCGTTATGCACAGAGCATTTTTATATAGAGAGATTGTTGCTGGGGAAGGCGCTCTGATGTCGTAGGAGACAAGATGGAACTGTCTTCTCTGCTCCCTTCTTTACTCTTTAATACAGTTCCTCATGTTATCGTGACCCCCAACCATAAAATTATTTTCCTTGCCTCCATAGGAAGGAAGATCCCAGACTCAAGACAAACAGTATGAAGGCCTTTGCTAATGTCACACCAGGCATCTATAAAGGTGATGGGACTGAAAGAAAGGCCTCTGTTAAGAGTCTAAGGGTCCAGGCACAGAGACCAAAAGTAACTCTTAGAACAGTGTTGCCAAACCTTCCTAATCCCACAACCTCTTAATACAGTTCCTCATGTTGTGGTGACCCCAACCATAACATTATTTTTGTTGCTCCTTCTTAATTATAATTTTGCAACTGTTATGTAGCGTAAGTGTGAATATCTGATATGCAGGATGTATTTTCATTCACTGGACACAAATACCTGATACGCCCAAATTTGAATAGTAGTGAGATTGTGGGGGGATTGATTTTGCCATTTGGGAGTTGTAGTTGCTGGGGTTTATAGTTCATCTACAATCAAAGAGCATTCTGAACTCCACCAACAATGGAAGTGAACCAAACTTGGCACACAGAACTCCCATGACCGACAGAAAATACTGGAAGGGCTTGGAGGGCATTGACCTTGAGTTTTGGATTTGTAGTTCACCTACATCCAGAGAGCACTGTAGACTCAAAACAATGATAGATCTGGACCAAAATTGCCACGGATACTCAATATGCCCAAATGTGGACACTGATGGAATTTGGGGAAAATAGACTTGACATTTGGGAGTTATAGTTACTTTGATTTATAGTTCATCCACAATCAAAGAGCATTACGGGGGCGGTATCTATTGATCTACTCACATTTGCATGTTTTCGAACTGCTAGATTGGCAGAAGCTGGGGAGCTCACCCCCCCCCCCCGGATTCGAACTGCCAACCTTCTGGTCAGCAAATTCTGCAGCTCAGTAGTTTATCCCCTTGGTCCACTGGATTATACAGCTTGACCCCTGCTTTAACTGCTATGGTGCAATGCTATGGAAACATGGGAGCTGTAGTCTGCTGAGGCATCAGCACTCTTATGCAGAGAAGATTACAGACCTTGTCGAACTCAAACTCCCAGGATTCCATTGTGTTAAGCCATGGCAGTTAAAGTGGTGTCAAATTAATTAATTTTACAGTGTAGATCAGGCATTGGCAAACTTCGACCCTCCAGGTGTTTTGGACTTCAGCTCCCAGAAATCCCAGCCAGTTTAATGGCTGTTAGGAATTGTGGGAACTGAAGTGTAAAACACCTGGAGGGCTGAAGTTTGCCTGTGCCGGGTGTAGATTCACTCTCAATTTCTTTTTAGCTCTGAGTTTTCTGGGATGGTGTTGCACATATCCCTTTCTCTCACCTTCTGCCTCTACTTCACAGGCTTTTATTGCAAAATGCTAATGTTCAACTTTACAACTGGGAGATAGAAATCTCTCTCTCTCTCTTATTAATTGGTTTTATCAAGCTCTGAAACCTGATAGCTCACCCTCTTTTAGCATCCCATCTTTCTTAAAGCAGTCTGAGCTAAACCAAATAGAGAGCACATTTTTTAAAAAAAGAGGAAGTGTGACAATATGTGAACAGTTCATGTGTCTGACCCATAAAGGAGGCTTTATCAGAATGCCATATAAACCACAATGTGCTACTTTAAAAAAATGAAATCCTTGTTATTTTCAGTAGCTGACTTTTCCTTCAACCTCCTGGAA